ATATCACTCGTTTTTAGTGATCATTAACTTGTTCTGCTGCCAGAACAACCAAACACCCAAGTGAAGTGTGAGCTATACCTATGAGCGTTCATCTGAATCGACCTGTTAAACCACTTGTCGTCATTAATAATGCTATAAAATCTTAAGAAATTTCTTTAGATACATATATGGCTACCCTTTGATAACCGAACCCGAGACTTTGATTCGGAAACAAATTTCTGAAAATCTTTTACATAAGATATGTTAAACCAAGTCACAAACTTTCAAATCAATTGCTATGGTTTTATATATATATATATATATCTTATCTATTGACAAATCTTTTATCTCAAATCTTCAAAAGTTAAACTGTCAATATGATTATATCATACCTGTCCTTATTTCAGCAATGATCACATAGGGGGAAATTGTTGGAAAATGTTCTTATGTAACCTTGTATGTGACCATAACTGAAATAAGATGAATTGTTTTTATACAATCTAACAAATATTATCAGTTATTTCAGGTTGCATAAATGCGTGATAAAACGGAAAATATGAAAGCACGCGCATAGACGAGAAAATTAGTTGTGTGACTAAAAAGTTTCACCAATATATATATATATATAATATACGTATGTATATATATGTATTATATATATGTATGTGTTATATATATATATATATATATATATATATATGTATTATATATATAGATATGTATATATGTTGAATAGTCTACAAGTTGAAAAGTCAACAAGGAAAACTCAAGACACACAACTTACACTTCCTAGCTCTACAAACAACTTGCATACACCAGCCAACTCCTTTCAAAAACACTCAAGTGAAGAAGATATTTGTTTCAATGTATATATGTATACGTGAGTTTGTGTGTGAGTGTGTGTGTTCATTTTGTAATATTGTAACACTTCTACAAACTACAAACACTCCCAAGAACATCACAAATCTTCATCTTCCTCAAGAACAAAGACAAATCCCTGGAGCTAAATGAAGAACACCAAGATCAAACAAGAAGCCAAGTGAAGAACACCAAGATCAAACAAGAAGCTAAATGAAGAACACCATCAACCATCTTCATCTTCTTCATTGAAACTAAAGGTTTTTCATCTTCACCACCTTTGATCATCACATCATACACCACCAAACACTTTCCTTACATCAAAACACCAAAACACAACCATGAAACAACCCAAAACCTTCTGCATCAAGATCAACCACAAAACCCATCACTATTCATCATCATCTTCATAAGAAATTTCACCACCTTTACCACCTTATATCAACCTCCTTCCAACCTCTAAACAACCTTGAAAACATCCTTAAAACACCATAACACCATTACCCTAGCCAAAACATTACAAACAAAACTTACCTTCAAATCACAAAAATCCCGAAATTGACTCAGACACGAACACGCCCCGTGTTAAAAACCAAGGCAAAATCAACACGCCCCGTGTTGCCCTCTGATTGCCTTCTTCATACTTCTGAACCTCAACACGCCCCGTGTTCAGCAAGGCTAAATCAACACGCCCCGTGTCAACATCAGCATCATGAACACGCCCCGTGTTCAGCAAGGCTAAATCAACACGCCCCGTGTCAGCATCAGCATCATGAACACGCCCCGTGTTCAGCAAGGCTAAATCAACACGCCCCGTGTCAGCATCATTCATCAAGAAAACCCTCCAAAACCCTCCTACACGACCCGTGTCACTTGTACCTTATCTTACACGACCCGTGTGCATGTTTTTACCCAAAAATACTTCAACTACAAATACATAAACCCATGTAGTTTGTACCCTTTTGTAAACACTTGTTTTACATAAAATCGATCTTTAAATGAACTTTTTGTTACTTATCCAATGCCAGATTGATCTTTGAACAAATATCGACCAGTCGCTCCAAGAGTCCCAATATCGACCAGTCCATTCAAAGAACAAATATCGACCAGTCGCTCCATGAGTCCAGTTCAGTCAATTTATTGACGAACCTACTTGATATATATTTATATATTTATATACTTTATTATAGCTTTATGTCATTTAAATATAGTCATTTATATTATTTATAGCTTTATGTCATTTAAATACAGTCATTTATATTATTTATAGCTTTACGTCATTTAAATACAGTCATTTATATTATTATAGCTTTCAGTCATTTACAGCTTTCATATTTATACTTATTCCGCAATTATTATTCGTTATATATATATATATATATATATATATATATATATATATCTTATATCTTAAACTGATATATCTGTCACACAGTAACTGGTAACCGAGCCTTTTGTTGTGGTGATCAGATTGTTATATTTCCAACAAATCGATATCTAAGCTGATATATAAAAGGAATAATATCCAACAACATGTCTACATCAACAAAATAAATAAAATCAATCTCTTTTTTATGCTACCGTTTATTGGAAAGCCACTGATGGATTTGAAACTCTAATTTGATATCAATTTTATTGGCTTCTAAACCCTAACCGAACGACATGGTCAAACCCACGCCTATTTCAGTAGGATTTTGGGGAACAACATGATAAAACAGATTCGTAAGTCCAATTTCAATCACAAAAAAATCACAGATGAAGAAACCCTAACTTCATTGGAGAGGTGAGGAAGTGAGTAGGACGTACTTGAGAGAGAGAGATTTACGAAGGATTTCAAATTCAAAATGCAAATAAAATAAATACTTATAGAAATTGTTCATGTTCAACGAGAATAAAGCCTAAATCATTGGAGGATTTCAGATTCAACATCAATCAGTTATAATGACTATGAAATATGGATCGATTAGGGATCCTTGTCTGAAGCCGAGAAGGAGACGATGAAGAAAGTGATATACCAATGCAGGTGGTGGTCGTTGGTTGATGTACAACCCTCTAGATTCAACGAGGATACTATAGCCACCAACAGAGGCAAAGATGGAGCAATTGTCGTGGCCGGAGAGAGGAGGGAAACGATGAGGATGAGTGGACGACATACGTGAGTGTGTGTGTGTGTGTGTGTGTGAGAGAGAGAGAGAGAGAGAGAGAGAGAGAGAGAGAGAGAGAATGAGTTTTGGGGATGTGAAAATCTCATTCCCATTTTACCCTCACGATTTTTGTTAAAAGCCCGTATACACCATTCAAGCTTTTGTTAATTACGAGATTGCCATAAAAAATCAGAGTCTTTAAAATTTTTGATCTAGTGGTCCATTTTTAGTTCTCAAGTTCTCAGGAATATATATGAGTTCTCAAATGATCATTTTTTTTTTCTCTCTCTCTCTCTCTCTCTCTCTATATATATATATATATATATATATATATATATATATATATATATATATATATATATATATATATATATATATATATATATATTAATTTCTGTTATTTTGTCATCCGCACATGATTTTCCAAAGCAATTGTATTAATAACTATCTTAACTATTCATTAACCTAATTCCAAATTTATTACCAAAATGCTTCTAATACACCGATATCAGATGTTATCCTCTTTTGTTGATGTTAACTCATCGTGTACATATGGAATTAAGAAATATTTTAAGAGTATATTTGACTTTTATACATCATACCTATGATTTTTAGAAGATACGGTTCTTCTGTACTGTGAGAATGAGGACTGAAATTGCCTTACGTAAAGTCGTTCGTGTCTCATCCCATGCCATCTTTTTAATTTACGGAGTCGTTCGTTTTCGGACCTTTTTTTTGTCCACGAATTGTTTATATGATGATGGTTGGATCTGATATTTTGAAAGATAAAAGGAAAACATTAATTACTTGTCAAATAATTCCACTGCACATGTACTTGACTCTAAAATTATATAAATTAATATAGTTGGAAATCGAGATTAGATTGTATTTAATGTTTTGAATTTTAAGCAATACTGTTAATGGGCCATGAAGTGGGCGCGAAGAATAGTACATGGTTTCAAGAGCACACCTACCGCGTTCGTTTATGGCAGCCATCACATGCATATACAGCGTACGATTTGATTAATACAACACTTGATTTAAGTACAAGTGTTGGATTATTTGCAAGAAATCTGTAATCAATACTAAATTAAACCAATATTTAAAGAAAATGAGTGTTTTTTAACCCATATTTGACGGGACCAAAAATGAGAGTTTTTTAACCCATATTTGACGGGACCAAAAATGAGAGTTTTTGCAAGAAACATGTAATCAATACTAAATGAAACCAATTATTTGCAAGAAACATGTAATCAATACTAATGAAGTTCACTGCTACTATTGAAAACGAAACTAAAAGTTTTTGGCTTTAAAATGTTCTCACGTAGATGAATAAATTGCTGTGATGGTTCTTCATTAGTTTATTGAGGTAATGAGGTTGTTCTCCATTTCCATTGGTATTGCGATAATTTGTTGTTCAAGATATGAAACAAGGTAACTTTTCTAAGTCCAAAGGGTATGAGAGGCTTTTTTACGTGTAAAGGGTGATGTGTGGCGGTGATGTTTACGCGTGAACACCGTCCCCTACTTTGTAACCGTTGTGTGAATTGAGGCCAGTTACGCGTTCTTACAACCAATGACATTCATTTGTGGAAAACGGTCAATTTTTGACCCGTAAGACATTAAAAAATATTAACTTTTTAACCTTACTAAACCATATAAATACCAAACATTTTTACACAATTTCACACCACAAAACCATTCACATATCTTTTATGCTTTCATTTTTTATCAAAAGTAGGGAGCAAAATCAAAATACCACAACCATTCCAAACACCCCAACAATTCCAAACACTCCAAATGATCAATATCAAGGTTACATTCAAATGTTAACATCTTGAATTCAAAAACAACATCAATTTACTAACATTCAATATCAACCAAACTACTTCCAACAACAAAGACCATAACAATTCAATCAACTCCACCTCCAAGCTTTTCAACAATTTCAACATTAACAATTCCAAACACAACCATCTTAAGTACCTTTATCTCAATCCCCACCTATAAACTTGGACAATGACGAGGACGATCGGTTCGAAGAAACACAACCATCTAAAAGAAGGCAACCCAAAGGAAAAACTACAAAAAAGAGGGACGACTTGGAACGAAGATAAGGAGGAAAAACCGGAGACTTCGCATTCGGAATCGATCACCGACTCTAACAAAAGGCCAAGAACTTCCGCTTCGGATGTGGGTTTTGGTGTCGACGTTAACGAAGATTTCGACGACACCGAAAGGGTGGGTCCACCGGAAGCAGTGGTGGATCCAGATGGGGCGTTGGAGGTATTACAACATCCCCAAAAATTTGTTTCATGTATATAAAAAAAATTATTTATAAACATGTTATATGTTATTGTACCCCCAGCTAAAGAGATTATATCATTTTTTTTAATATCTCGAATATGATAACTACATAAAATATTTATTGATAATTTTTGTACCCTATATAAAAATTCCTACCTCTGGCACTGACCGGAAGTCAAACTTCGTTGACCACCAATAAGTGAAAAGAGAAAAAAACATTGAAAATGGTGGACATATAATGGTTATGATATATATTACTTTTCTAGTAAACATCTGATTAACACATCATAGCCTAAGTCTCAACAAACATGTGAAAATGGTGAAGTTAATTCTTCTTTTTTGAAATAGTGCAACCTCGAAATGGAAATCAACCTGGTAAATTAATTAAATGTTCCATTTCATCATTCAAATCGGAAAGGTTGCGATCCTGTGAACGCTAAAAAATAGCTGGCTAATGGTGAAGTTGCATTACACAGTTGAGTATATATATATATATATATATATATATATATATATATATATATATATATATATATATATATATATATATATATATATATATATATATATATATATATAGCTGGCTAATGGTGAAGTTGCATTACACAGTTGAGTGTATATATATATATATATATATATATATATATATATATATATTCCTATTTTAACGAAAGATTTTTTTTTCATTTATAATTTTTTAATTTATTATTATTATTATTATTATTAAATATAGAGGAGGTATAGCATTGTATTGCTGTAAGGAAATGTTAATTATTTTCTAAGTTATTGCTATAATTGGTGCGAGAGAGATACATCACGAATTGTTGATGAAATTGTAAAAGAAATTGAAAAAAATCAATAGCAAAAACTATAAAAAAAAAAACAAAAAGTATATATTAAAAACAAATAACCACAGTGAAGTTTTTTATTTTTTTTTTGGTTTCTTTAAAGGAACATGTCACCTTTTTTCAAAAAAAAAAAAAATATCTTAATAATCCCTTTTTTGGTAAGTAAGTTTTAAAGTATAGGTAAATAAGTTTTTTAAAAACACCAAAACTCCCAAAAATGGTTACGTAATGCAATTAATGCATGAGTTGATTGCATTTGTCAAGAGCAAATACTTTTCTTCTTCTATCAAGCATCGAGAGGGACTTTCAAAATAATGCAATCGAGCATTCTAATGGATTAAATAGCTCAAGGCCAGGCCTCGTCATGATATGACTCATTCAATAGTGGATTAATATATTTGGATAATTATATCCTACTTGCATGTCCCTTCTTTTGCAGTATATATATGTATCGATCGGTGATGTTCTTTGTCAAATATTTTAGGCTACACAGTCATAAAAAAGAAGAGACTAAAGCATTTTTCTCTTCTTACTTTGAAGAAAGGAAAATGGAGTATGATAAGTCTATTGTAACTATTTTGATTCCCATACTCAGTTTACTTCTCTCATTGAATTACATACCATGCAAAGCTCAGCTTTCTTCCACCTTTTACGATGACACATGCCCTAATGCACTCACCACTATTAGAACTTCTATTGGTGCTGCGGTGACAAGTGATCGTCGCATGGCAGCCTCTCTCATTCGCCTTCATTTTCACGATTGTTTCGTTCAGGTTCATTTTGTTTCTTAATTAAATCTCTCTCACACACATGCACTTCTTCCATATATATGCATGGTGCTTCTATTTATACATCAGATCATGTAAGAACATGCGGATTTTAATCAGGTCAATTTTGCAGGGTTGTGATGCATCCATATTACTAGAAGTTTCCCCAAGTGAAAAGGATGCATTTAGGAACGGAGGTGTGAGGGGCTATGAAGTTATAGATGATGCAAAAGCTGCTGTCGAGAGCGTATGCCCTGGCATTGTTTCTTGTGCAGATGTACTTGCTGTCGCTGCTCGTGATGCTTCTGTAGAGGTAATATATAGCAAAAGCTTTATATATGATGTACATAAATAAAGATTCATAGAATCTGTAATTTCCACTTGTAATATAATTAAATTAATTAGTTTTTTTATGTTTGAAATTAATACGTAGGTGGGTGGTCCTTCATGGTCAGTAAGGCTTGGAAGAAGAGATTCTCTAACAACAAACCCAGATGAAGCTAACAATATTCTTCCATTAGGTAGTATGGGTTTAGATGTACTCATTCCAATCTTTGCTCAAAAGTCACTCAGCGTAAGAGACATGGTTGCTCTTTCAGGTAATGATCACTTGCATCTATATATTATAATTAAATATATCTTCCTGACAGAGGAAATGAAAGCATGTTTGTTACATAATATATACTTGTTGTCATGCAGGAGCTCATACAATAGGGCAAGCAAGATGCGTTACGTTTAGGGCAAGGATATACGCCAACGACTCAAACATAGATCCTGAATTTGCTAGTAACCTTAGGACCAACTGTCCACAGACTGGAGGCGACGGGAACTTGGAGCGACTTGATTTGGTGACACCAAATACGTTTGACGTCAACTACTTCAGGAATCTTTTGGAAAGAAGGGGTCTTCTGACATCAGACCAGGCACTGTTTAATGGAGATTCAACTGATAGCATCGTACAAGAGTACGTCGACAACCCTGCTTTATTTGAGTCTGATTTTGCTGCTGCGATGGTTAGGATGGGAGACCTTGATCCCCTTACCGGTGCTAATGGGGAGATAAGGACTCTTTGCACCGCTCTCAATTAAGAAAGAAAAGTGATGTACGTAATGATCAATGTATAATAATATTTCAAACCACAAGTAATAAAACTATCCACTACGTACTATAAGAATTTTCTTCATTTTATTTATCCTTAGAGTAAATTATGCATATGGTCATTGTGGTTTGGGTAATGTATGCTTGTTCCCTAATTTTTTTTCTTAACTCGGACGGTCCTTAACATGTAATATTTTAGCGTTTAGTCCCTATCATATCCAAAAAGAATGTATTACCTTTTTTAGTTCTTTTTTAATTTGTTAGTTATTTATTTATTAAAAATAAATGGGTCTCACCCCTTACCTTCACCCTTCCCATGTCTCTTAATCATCATCATCATCAACCAATTCATCTGCTACCACCACTACATATTCCTTCCTCCCACCTCCTCTCCTTTACCTGCCGGAAAGCTCCCAACCACCTTTTTTCTCTCACAGGAAAGGCTAATAGTCGCTCCTTCATCGACACCACCGCTTTTTTCACCCTCAAACGAGAAGAATGAGTGATATATATCGGATACTTTAGATGTAACATCCCGACTTTCAGGTATAATATTTAATTAAATTATATTCATTTTGTCAGGGCAACTTGATGAGTTGGAGCCCCAACTCGTCGAGTAGAGATGGAGATAGCCGTGTGATTTTTTAGAGTCTACTCGACAAGTTGTAAGACCCCAACTCGACGAGTAGGAGCTGAGTGTGGAAACCCAAATTTTCAAGGTTTGCACCCTATTTTCATTCCGCCTCCCTGATCATTTTAGTACCCTGAGAGAAACCCTAAACGAGATGGTATCATCTGTAAGAGAGAGGGAGAGGCTAAAAGTATGTGTGTTGGTGCATTCTTTGAAGGAGTTTGAGGAGCAAAAAGCTTGGAACGAGTGGGAGCCATTGGATCCAATATTCTTTTAGTGTTAGTTGCCATTTGGAGGTAAAAAGCTATCACCTTGACTATTTGTTTGTCAGTTCTCTTTACTAGGGAGTTTATGGCTATTTCCATATTCTCTTCGAGTCCCTTAGTTGTTTGAGCATGCAATGAAGTTGAGACTTCAGACTTGGACAGTATGAGGTCCCTTCGACCTAAAGATTCAAGCTTTATCAAGCTATTGGCCAACTTTCATGCATTAAACCCTCTATAGAGCTTTGTTTTGGCATTTTGAGCCCTAGATGTCATGCATGGACGTAAAGCTTGCATCTTTACGTGATACTTCAACCTTAGAAGGCTAGATCTAGAGTATGACACCTTAGTTATGCTTAAAAAGTATGAATGAGAGAATGGACTTAAGGAACTCGATGAGTTGGTTAGGATTTTCGCCGGTAATCTGGACGCGTTACAAATTCGGCGAATTGGTGAGACAACTGAATGAGTTGAGTTGGATTTTCCCGAAATTTCAGAGAAATGAAGGAACTCAATGAGTCGTATAGACGCACTCAACGAGTTGGGTCAACATGGACTGTTGACTTGAGCGTTGATTTCCGTTGAATTTTAGGGTTTGGTCAAAAGTGGAGTTTGGAGACCATGGAGGGGTAAAATTGTCTTTCACCTTTTCCGAGAGTTAGAAAAGGGGTTAGCTTAACATCTATAGAATTATTGTTATAAAGTGTTAATTAGAGATGATTATGATATGTAGGCGGAGTCTAGACCGTTCGTTGAGTACGAGACCTACTTGCTTACGTACGAGGTGAGTCTTCTCACTATACTTATTTGAGTCATTGACCGGAGGGTCTTATGTGATTATACTGAGTTATGTGATATTATGCATTTTGTCTTTGTGATTTATGTTGTATATTATTTTGTGCTTTTATTGAGTTAGGACCAGAGGGTCCAACCCGAGCCGTGAGACCGGAGGGTCCTCAACGAGACACTGGACTGGAGGGTCCAAACCGAGTCATGATACCGAGGGGTTCTCACCGAGACACTAGACTGGAGGGTCCAACCCGAGCCGTAAGACCGGAGGGTCATCACTGAGACACATGACTGGAGGATCCTTATAGAGATATAGCCATGAGAGGCTACTTATTTGTATGTGACATTTTGGGGACTCGGTAAGCTTCGTGCTTACAGTGTTGTGTGTAATGTGTTTCAGGTACCTCTCAAGATCGTGGGAAGGTACCGACTTAGAGATTATGTTTTGAGGAATCTAGGATATTATCAAACATTTTGTTGTCTTGTGTTTTGAACAACTTATACATTGGTGTTTTGAGAAATGTGAGATTGTGTTTTATGTGGTTTTAAAAATGAAATTTTTATTTGAAAATTTAGACTGTTACAAGTTAGTATCAGAACCTTGGTTTGAGGGATTCGGATGTACCTTCAGGTATGTTTGGACTCAAATTGAGGATTTGAGAATTTTTTTTTTTCCAAAAAGAAATGATTTTTCTAAAACGAGTAAGAGCTTTTAAGAGAAAATAAGATGGAGCAATGTGTGCAATCATCCAGAGCCGAACGGTGATTTCCAAAAATACCATTACTTATTTATATTATGAGATACTTATGAGATATTAGAGCTGCATGCTAGAGTATTGGCTAGGTATTTCAGGAATTTAGAGCTAGAGTTGACTGATTCATGATGCCTTAGCCTAGGGGATGCTATCGATTGATATTATCTGCTGTTTGCTCTGTGTATGTGCTGAGTAGGAGTATCTAGCAGGAATCTTTTAGAGAGAGCTTTGAATCGAGGTGTAATCTAGGAAAGATACCTAGATGTGCACTGAGAAATCTACCGAGAAAGTAGTTCGATATCCGTGAGGGATAGAGTACTTATGAATTAGGATCCCAGGAAAAGGACTTGAGGTGACTACAGGTTGGTATGGAAGGTAGTATTGGGCTCGTACTACTGAAAGCACCAGATATGTATGCGACCCAAGTAATAACCTTAGGATAATAAGGAGCATGTAGGGGTGGGTAATTTCGTGTGTGCTTAAGCTAGTCTCTGGTATTTTTGTGCTTGTGTTTCAGAGACACCATGGTGATTACCCATAACAACCCTGGGGGCAGTGGTACCACTGACGAGGAGATCCACAGGATTATTGCCGAGGAGGTGGCCACAACTATCAGCGAGGCCAAACCATAGATGTTCGGGTCTATTAAGACTACGCTGATTGAGACATTTGATGAGCGATATGATGTTGTCACAGAGGCTGCTGCCGCAGCCACCACAGTCGTGGGTGCTGCGAGGCTACATGGGGGTGACTTGTTGTTCTTCTGAGAGTTCAGCAACACGAAGCCACCAGAGCTTGACGGAACCCAGGACCCGATTACTTCCATGAGATGGATCTCCGACATCGATGGATGTTTCTATACATGTTCATGCATGGAGCACTTAAGATTTTGGTTTGCACTGAACCAGCTTCTCTTGGGAACGAAGGACTAGTGGAAGTTTGTGACGACAGGCTTTACTCCTTCAGATTATGCAACAGTGACTTGAGAGAGGTTTACCTAGCTGTTTAGAGACGAGTATGTTCCCCAGGTAAAGAGGGAACGTTTGGCACAGGAGTTTCTGTCTCTCAAGTAGAAGACATAAACAGTAACAAAGATTAAGAGGATATTTCATGAGAGGGCTTTGTTTTGTCCTGAGCATGTGTCTACGGAGCAGGCACGTGTGAGCCAGTATTTGAGCATCTTGAGGAGAGATATTTGGGAGTTCGTAGCGAACTCGTTGTATCGGACATTAGTTGAGTTGCAGACCAATGCCAGGAGGAGAGAGATTAAGTTGGAGATTCATACTAGAGAAGAGGGAGAGCAGCAGGAGAGAGATAGGAGATCAGTGCAGTTTTAGCCAGCAACGAAGCGGGCTAAGCCCGCTAATTCGAGAGCAAGAGACCAGAAGGTCCTAACTTATGGCAAGTGCGGCAAGAGTCACGAGGGATCTTGTCGAGCACGGATTTGCTATAAATGTGTCAAGGAGGGGCATATAGCGAAGGACTGCCCCAAGGGATTTTCGGTTTGCTTTCATTACAACTAGACTGGCCACCGGAAGGCTGAGTGTCCTCAACTCGTATAAAGATCAGCACAGGCTTCTGCTCCTACTGCTTTACGTGTTATTGATGGTCATCTAGGGAAGGCCGAGGCTCCAAGAGCTCGTGAGAGAGAATTCTAGCTGACTGCGGAAGAGGTCCGTGCAATGCCTGATGTTGTTGTTGGTACGTATCTCCATATTCATGTTATTTTGAGATTTGTTTATGCTTATACTATGTTACATATAGGTACTTTTCTTGTGAGTTATATGCCTACCTTGGTGTTATTTGACTTGGGTGCGAGTTGATCTTTCGTGTCCTTATCCTTTAGTCATCATATTAGTGTTAGACACGAGGTTTTCTATAACGGATGACCTTGTGGTTTTCTCCACTGATGTATTCTAGGGAAGTGTGTTAGATATTCTCGGAGTTGAGTTTCTAAAAGATCTAGTGCCGATAGCGATGGGTTATGTCTGTATCATAGTGGGCATGGATTAGTTGAGTCGATTTGGAGCTATGATTGACTATGAGCGTCAGATAGTGACTATACGAGACCCTAATGGAGGATTACTGATTGTGTATGGCGAGGGAACTAGATCGGGATCAACTTTATACTCTACCTCCAGGGCGAGGCAGAGTCTACAGCAGGGGTGCATGGGCTTTTTAACGTATGTGATGGATAAACGGATGGCCACCAAGAGGCCGATTTCTATTTTTGATGTTCCCGTAGTAAGTGAGTTCCCGAATGTTTTCCCCGAGGAATTTCTGGGTGTACCCCCTGAGAAATAGGTTGGGTTCTGAATCAATCTGACTCCAAGGGCGGCGCAAATTGCCAAGGCACCTTGTTGCCTTGCGCCACCAGAGATGCATGAGTTGTCCTTGCAGCTCCAAGAGCTACGAGGGAAGGGTTTTATTAGACCGAGTAGCTCGCCGTGAGGTGCGCCGATCCTTTTTGTCAAGAAAAAGGATGGTTCACACCGGATGTGCATTGACTACCGGGAGTTGAACAAGCTGACGGTCAAGAACCATTATCCACTACCGATGATCGATGATTTATTCAATCAGTTGTAGGGATCATCTTGGTTTTCCAAGATTGATTTAAGATCTGGGTATCATCAGATGAGATTCTGTGAAGAGGATATTTAAAAGACGGCCTTTTGGAGTCGTTATGGGCACTACGAGTTTTGTGGTGATGCCTTTCGGGCGCACTAATCCACCGTAGCGTTCATGGACCTCATGAA